CTTTCCTGTCGAAACGCCGTTGGAAGGCGTAGTGTTTTTTTGGTCCCGCGAGAAAATCTCCAATCATCCAAAATGGTAGGTGCCCAGGGCCGAAATAATGGCTAATACAGCCCCTGGAGGGCCCCCGAACTGAATGTGTGACGTGACAACCATTACCTGGCGAAATTTCCATGTGCACATGTACATTCCCACATGCATAGGTGCACGCTGCATGCATGTGTGTGTGTGGTGAAATGCAAGACAAAGACTAGGAGTGACGTATGCAGTTTGCTATTGAAATTTCGCAAGAATGTGAAAGGCACTGGGTGAAAGTTGTGAAATGCGCCGCAGACGGCGACATCTAATTATATAGCTCGATGCTGCAGTGCGGGTGTGTGAGTGAGTGATGTGATTCTCTGTAAATAGCCGACGCAAGTGGTTTTCTGTTCTTATCTAACCTCAAAGTCCGTGGCACGACGGCCAAGAATGTGTGTTTGTGTGTGGACGCCATTTTTAATAAGCACACATACAGTACATAGTGGGAACTCGTTCTAATACATAGCGATGCCCTATTTTCGCAGGTCAACTTCACCGTCGACGAAATCCGTGGCCTCATGGACAAGAAGCGGAACATCCGCAACATGTCCGTGATTGCCCACGTTGACCACGGCAAGTCCACCCTGACCGATTCGCTCGTGTCCAAGGCTGGTATCATTGCCGGAGCCAAGGCCGGTGAGACCCGTTTCACCGACACCCGCAAGGATGAGCAGGAGCGCTGCATCACCATCAAGTCGACGTAAGATGGCCACACCCCTCTGCCCCCCTTTACCCCCTGCTAATCCACCGAAATCTCCCTCTCCATTGCAGTGCCATCTCCATGTACTTCGAGGTGGAGGAGAAGGATCTGGTGTTCATCACCCATCCCGATCAGCGCGAGAAGGAGTGCAAGGGTTTCTTGATCAACCTGATCGACTCGCCCGGTCACGTTGACTTCTCCTCCGAGGTGACCGCCGCCCTGCGTGTGACCGACGGTGCCCTCGTCGTGGTCGACTGCGTCTCCGGCGTGTGCGTCCAGACCGAGACCGTGCTGCGCCAGGCCATCGCCGAGCGCATCAAGCCCATCCTGTTCATGAACAAGATGGACCGCGCCCTGCTGGAGCTGCAGCTGGATGCCGAGGAGCTCTACCAGACCTTCCAGCGCATCGTGGAGAACGTGAACGTCATCATCGCCACCTACAACGACGACGGCGGCCCGATGGGTGAGGTGCGCGTGGACCCCTCCAAGGGATCCGTGGGCTTCGGTTCCGGCCTGCACGGCTGGGCCTTCACCCTTAAGCAGTTCTCCGAGATGTACTCCGAGAAGTTCAAGATCGATGTGGTCAAGCTAATGAACCGGTGAGTGGGCTTTGCATTTTACAAACCTCTACACGCTTCTAGCACAAAACGTGTGGCGCTGAGCGGGCGGCATCTTGGAGGCCTGCTCCCCAGGGGGCAGGTTTCTTTAGAGTCGCACGTGCTGAGGGCGCCACAAGTGCCACAAAAATAGAAGCAGAGCAAAGGTAGGAAGCTGTTGAAACGCTGCCTCGGGACCGCTTTCCTAATGTCCCAACGAGTCATGCTAAGGCAGCAACCTCACAATATTTTGTAAAAACAAAATCATATGTAATTTGTGATTTACATTACTTCATTTTACCCTTCAAATAAGACCCAAAAAATTATATAATCGCCAAATCAGCAGAAAAGAAAAGTAAAATTTACAGATTGAAGCAAAAGATTAAATGCACAAAAAGAAAACAATATTAAGATTAAACAAAAAAATTGATAAGTATGCTTTAGAGGTTAAGATAGGGCAATCATTTCTAATAATATACTCAACTAACCAAATGCCTCGTCATTTCTCCTTCACAGTCTGTGGGGCGAGAACTTCTTCAACGCCAAGACCAAGAAATGGCAGAAGCAGAAGGAGGCCGACAACAAGCGCTCGTTCTGCATGTACATCCTGGACCCCATCTACAAGGTGTTCGATGCCATCATGAACTACAAGAAGGAGGAGATCGGCACTCTGCTCGAGAAGATCGGCGTGACCCTGAAGCACGAGGACAAGGACAAGGATGGCAAGGCTCTGCTGAAGACCGTGATGCGCACCTGGCTGCCAGCCGGTGAGGCTCTGCTTCAGATGATTGCCATCCACCTGCCGTCGCCGGTGGTTGCCCAGAAGTACCGCATGGAGATGCTGTACGAGGGTCCCCATGACGATGAGGCCGCCGTTGCCGTCAAGTCTTGCGACCCCGATGGTCCCCTCATGATGTACATTTCCAAGATGGTGCCGACCTCCGACAAGGGTCGCTTCTACGCCTTCGGACGTGTGTTCGCCGGCAAGGTGGCCACCGGCCAGAAGTGCCGCATCATGGGCCCCAACTACACGCCCGGCAAGAAGGAGGATCTGTACGAGAAGGCCATCCAGCGCACCATCCTGATGATGGGTCGCTACGTCGAGGCCATCGAGGATGTGCCCTCGGGCAACATCTGCGGTCTGGTCGGTGTCGATCAGTTCCTGGTCAAGACCGGAACCATCACCACCTTCAAGGATGCCCACAACATGAAGGTAAGACTCTGTGAAACATTTTCTTTAGTTGGAAATTACTAATTTCGTACTATCTTCCCGTTCGATTTCAGGTCATGAAGTTCTCCGTGTCCCCTGTGGTGCGCGTGGCTGTGGAGCCCAAGAACCCCGCCGATCTGCCCAAGCTGGTGGAGGGTCTGAAGCGTCTGGCCAAGTCCGATCCCATGGTGCAGTGCATCATCGAGGAGTCCGGAGAGCACATCATTGCCGGCGCCGGTGAGCTGCATTTGGAGATCTGCCTGAAGGATCTGGAGGAGGATCACGCCTGCATCCCCCTGAAGAAGTCCGATCCCGTGGTGTCCTACCGCGAGACCGTGTCGGAGGAGTCCGACCAGATGTGTCTGTCCAAGTCGCCCAACAAGCACAACCGTCTGCTGATGAAGGCTCTGCCCATGCCCGACGGTCTGCCCGAGGACATCGACAACGGAGACGTGAGCTCCAAGGACGAGTTCAAGGCTCGTGCCCGCTATCTGTCCGAGAAGTACGACTACGACGTGACCGAGGCCCGTAAGATCTGGTGCTTCGGCCCCGACGGAACCGGACCCAACTTCATCCTCGACTGCACCAAGTCCGTGCAGTACCTCAACGAAATCAAGGACTCCGTTGTTGCTGGCTTCCAGTGGGCCTCCAAGGAGGGTATCCTCGCCGACGAGAACTTGCGCGGTGTCCGCTTCAACATCTACGATGTGACGCTGCACGCTGATGCCATCCATCGTGGAGGTGGCCAGATCATTCCAACCACTCGTCGTTGCCTGTACGCCGCCGCCATCACCGCCAAGCCTCGTCTGATGGAGCCCGTCTATCTGTGCGAGATCCAGTGCCCCGAGGTCGCTGTGGGCGGCATCTACGGTGTGCTCAACAGGCGTCGTGGACACGTGTTCGAGGAGAACCAGGTTGTGGGCACGCCCATGTTCGTGGTCAAGGCATACCTGCCCGTCAACGAGTCGTTCGGCTTCACCGCCGATCTGCGCTCCAACACCGGCGGACAGGCCTTCCCCCAGTGCGTGTTCGACCATTGGCAGGTGCTGCCCGGCGACCCGAGCGAGCCCTCCAGCAAGCCCTACGCCATCGTCCAGGACACGCGCAAGCGCAAGGGTCTCAAGGAAGGTCTGCCCGACCTGTCCCAGTACTTGGACAAGTTGTAAGCCACCACTCACCACCACCCAATCCCCCACACAACAACATCCATGTGCAGCTGGCTGAGCGGGAGGAACATAGAACAAAGTGGAGCGACCGAAAACTACATCTGAATTCAGCGCGGCACCTGAAACAACGCCTGCGGCCGCCGGCAGTGTTTTGAATGAAACACACAAAACATTAAAGAAATTTTGATGATTATTAATTGTATAACAGTAAAACACAACAACATAATAAATCAAGTAAATGATTAAATGCTTAAGCTTATATAAAACAAATGCGTGAGGTCGCAACGAAAACAGATTTCGTGGGAATTGGTGGGACTAAAGATTTCTGACCAAGGCGGTGTTATAGATTTTTATTTGGGAAAATTTCGCTTTTTTTTCGTAAAAAAAACAAAAACAAGAAACAAAGTATTGAAGCAATAAATTGTACTTAATTTATTTATTATTAAATCTTAACCATATGAAAATTATCATAATTTGGTATTCCAGTTTGCCAACCATCTGTAGTACACCTGTATTGGTTTGAGTCCGCGCTAAGCAATCACGACATTTGAAAAAAATTAAATATCGATAGCCAGCTAAATTACCTGCAATGTTGAGACTTTTTAATTGTTTTGATATTTTTATATATTTGATATAATTTTTTACTACAAATTATTTCAGCTTTTCAAGAAATAATATTTATATCTGCAATTTCGTTAAGTGGTAAAATACGGAAGTTTATTAAAATGCTTATCTTCTGTTCTAACGGTCCAATCGGTATCATTTTTGTGTTTTTATTCTTACAAAAAAAAACCAAAAAAATCTAACTTTATTTATCGCATACAGTTGTATGTAACACCTTTACTTGAGTACGTTAATTTAAACCGCGCAGTTCTGAATTTCAAAAATGACTAGTATTTGTTTAAAAACAATAAGGCATGAGTGGCACGCTTACATTAACAATTTAAATAATACAAATCGCATTGGAACAAACTTACGGAGCAACCAAATACAAAAATCAAAATAAACCCAAACCGGTTCTTGACAGGCCCACTGATTTTTGGCTGCGTGGGAAGATATCGATACAATATTTTGATACTTTTCTGGCATCGCTAGATTTGCGAACGTTGCTCTGCCATAAACAAAAGGTCGGTGCGTCGCTCAGTCGTTTGGTTTTGTAGCGGAAAAGTCGGAATAAGTGGGTTCTCCTGTGTGTATATTCGTGTGTTGTTGCTGGTGTGCTGTTCCAAAGTCAGAAGCTAATTGCAAAATGCGAATGTTCTCGGAAATTGCCCCGCGACTGTTTTTGTCATCGGCTCTAAACCACCGTTACCGTTGCCTTTAATGTCGCCGCGGCGTCTGTCGTTACAATTGCCACCCCCCGGCGCTCTCCTCTCTCTGCCCCGCTCTGTCTCTGTCTCTCTTTCGCCCCCGCTTGGGATTAATCTATTTTTAGCAGCATTTCCAATTGGAAGACTTTTGATTTGACCTTTTGGTGTGCCGAAAGCAGAGCTTTCTAACTGTAATTATTAGCCCGAGCCGAAAAAGTCGCTGCGTGCTCGAGTGCGGGTGTATGTGTCTGCATATGAAAAAATCGATGCCAGACTCCCTGCAGAAACTTCATTCAGAAAGGAAAGGAAAAAGGAAAGGAGAGTGGTGGAGGGGGAAGAAGGAGCTGAAGCCAAAGCAGCGACGCCGACAGCAGTAAATTTTACAGCTAGACAAAGTGGCCCGTGTGTGTGTGGGTGGCTGTAAGCGTAACGGTAACTGGAATCCATAGACAGTCGCCGATAATACCGGAAATGAATTTTTCCCGTATTAGAAACTTAAATACTGCAAACTTTTATTATTATCGCAGCCCGCATCCGTTCGAATCTGATTTTTTAGGCCAACCCAGTTGCAGTTGCAAAAAGTTTTTTGTTTAGCCATAGGCAAAAAAAACGTGTTTATATATAGCCAGTAGTACAAAGGCTGTGCGTACGTGTGTGTGTGTGTGTGTGAAGGGGGAGGGGGGCGAGAATGGTGTGTGAATGCGCCTGACTCGAACTCAAACTCAAACTCCTCTCAGCGGGACCCAAAGTGTATAGAAAATATGAATGAAGATAAGCTAGAGTGCGGTGCGAATAGTGTGCTCCCACACTCTGCTCTCTCGCGATGTTGCTGTCTCCATCTGCTATACCCCCCCTCCCCCCTCTCCCTCCCACATTCCCCAAATTCTCTCTCCGAAGTGAGATGCGAAAAATCAATGCACAAAAATCCCTTGTTGAACAGTATTTAATTGCCCAGATTGCGCGTGTGTTTACTTTTTTTTGGTGTAAATGCAAAATTAATGTAAGCGATTTTTAAATCAAAACAAGAACAGACGGGTGAGACGAAAGGGGAAACCGCAAAATATGGCAAACATCATGGAAAAGTTTTATGGTACAGACACATTTTAAGATGCCAAAAGAGCGGACTGGAAACTAAAAATATAACAAATAAATAGTTGTGCATTTCGATAGAACGGGAGTTGAAAAGCTTAATCTAAACTTTCATCTAACAAAAAAATCTTTTTCAATCCGCAGAAATTTAATTTAAAGTGTCTTAAATTTGCTTTTTTCTACACCAAAAACGTTATCCATAAAATGTCTCATAGAATTTTAAATGTGTTCAACTTTTTGAATAGAAAAGATATTTTAAAATAATAGGTTCAAAATTTCAACTCCAAAAGTCTATGCAAAACTTAAACTATTATGAAATTATAAAAACGAAGAACAATAAAATAAGAATTTTTTGGCGACTAATAACTTATAGCCAAAGGTTATTTGGAAAATAAATCCATTTATGAAAGATTTTATGGCTCACGATATAGTGCGTGCCGAGTGCTTATGAAAAACCTTCCATTGTATACACAAATATCCTGCCCATTGTGGGCTTTTATGCCAAAACGAAGGTCAACCCTGACAGGTTACGTGCCCAAAGTTTATCCTGCCCAGTCAATTTTAATTTCCGCTCACACGCTTTTCCACCTAATCGGAAAATATCAATATCCAGCGTCGGAACTTTCCCTGCTCGCATTCAAAATCGCACGGCAGACTAATAGCTCCTAATTGGAAATCACGCCAGCGAAATCAATATTCATTATTTATTAATAGCGACTTACAGCGGATTACGTACCGAAAATCTCTGACCCCCATTTCCCATTTTCCACCCCCGCAGCCTCGACATTCCGTTCCCGATGACGAATTTAATGACCTGAAATAAAAGAAGCGAGGCAGAGGAAAGCAGGGGAAAACCGCCAATCACTTTCACACATTGCATAGATGAGAATTGAGGCAGCCGACAACAAAGCAACGCCGCAGCGACGCTGACTGAGGCAGCGACGTCGACGTCTCTGTGGGCGCATTGATTAAATTTTCATAATCAACGAAATATCCATATCGACATCCACATCCACACCCACACCCACAAAGAAGAAGCCGCAGAGCAGGTCTCCCGCTCCCGTCGACGGTTTCAATGAGCATCGCATAATGGCAGCGGCACCTGAATCGTGTTGTGGAGCACGCGATTCCAGCGAACCGGCCACCGAGGGGGCGTTCGATCCGGAGGAGGCGATCCGGGGGCGGTCCCAGGCGGCAATGACGGACTCCCATCGCGCATTGGACTCCCTGGAGGCGGAGGCGGAGACGGAGGCGGAGGCAGGGCAAGATCCAGATGCAGATGCTGCCGCTGCTGGAGCTGACCAACAAAGGCAAAAGTATGTCGCAAGTTTTTTATACGAAATAAATTGGTTAACCTCCATTTATAAGTCCTATTTAAAATTAAACTAAATCTATAGATCCGATTTGCTATTTTTAAAAATATTTGTTTAACAATATCTTAAATGTCATTTACATATGTTTCCATTGATAAATGGATATGATACTTATAAGATTTATAGCACATCATCTGTAAGATCTGCCCAAGATGGTATAGGACCAATGTTTTCCAGTAGAAAAAGGTCGGTCACCCCATAGAAAAATATAACCATTCTGTTTAAAACCGTATGCGAGCTCAGTTGAAGAACTAAAAACTTTCCCAGCCGTCATGAATTATGTTTACGCATAATTTGAAAAGCACCCCGATCGGACGTCTACATTATATTATATTATTATATATTATATTAGGAATGATCGAATATTACTTGACTTATTTAAAGATATTTCGCGCAGTGGAAATGCATCTTTCAAAACCCTTTTTTTGAATAATACCTTGACCTAGGTTTAAGGACTTGCCGTTATATTACAGATCTTATAGGAAAAAGAATAAATATGTCAAAATAGAATGTTAGAATAGAATGTCAAGATATTTGCATATATATTGTTGTTTATTATTTAATATTTATATTTTTATCACCTAATCTAGTCACGTTTTGAATAGTGAAATCTGCGTTCTCGTTATACCCTTGCAGAGGGTATTACGATTTCAGTCAGAAGCTTGCAACGCAGGGAAGGAGACGTTTCCGACCCCATAAAGTATATATATTCTTGATCAGCATCACAAGACGAGTCGATCTAGCCATGTCCGTCTGTCCGTCTGTCCGTCCGTCTGTCTGTTTCTACGCAAACTAGTCTCTCAGTTTTTGATCTATCGGGATAAAACTTTCCCAAAAGTCTTTTTTCTATTGCAGGTAGTATATAAGTCGGAACCAACCGGATCGGACAACTATATCTTATAGCTCCCATAGGAAGGATCAAAAAAAAAAACGTAAAAAAATTCTAGCTCCGGTGTTTTTTGAAATTTTACCTTCTACTCTTGGAAATATTTTTTTTTATATATTTCTGAATTTCGTTTTTTTTGCTTTTTAAATCGGATCACTATATCATATAGCTGCCATAGGAACGGTCGAAAAATTAATTGGAAATTAATGGGAAAAAAATTATATCTTTGTTGGTTTTTATTACATTCCCTTCTACTCTGGGATATGACTATTTTGAAATATTTCCGAATTTCGATTTTAATTTTTAAAAGATCGAACTACTTTATCATATAGCTGTGATAGAAACGATCGAAAAATTAATGTGAAATGATAAGAAATTTAACATTTTTACGATTTGTAAATTAATAGAATGATCTGCAAGGGTATATAAGCTTCGGCTTGCCGAAGCTAAGTTCCTTTCTTGTTTTTAATTTAAAAAGGAATAAGTTATAAGTTTTTATTCAATTAACTTTTTGTCTTCATTGCTGCGCAGCGATGATCAATTGCAGCTGCAGTCGCTGGAGCCCATCTCCTTGGACGACATACCTGAGCCCATTAAAGTTCTCGACGAGATTATTTCGGAGTTCGAGGAGGCAGCAACGAAACCGGTGGCCTTGCACAGCAACAGTGGCGAGAATCAGTCGGAGGACGATGGCTACATGAGCCTAAGTCGCAAAAAGTGAGTGATGTTTTAAATATTAAATTCAATAGTAGAAATTCAAATACCTAAAAATATAAGGAGCAAAAAACAGATACGCCTGATGCCCAGATTAAATATTAATCCTTAAACCTGTCTTGCAATCAACCCTGTATGACTTAGAGAATCTCCACATTCCAATTACTACTCAACCCCCACTCTGCTCTCTTTAATCAATTTTCAACTTTGACTTTGCAGCATGTCCAAAAAGGATTCGGAAGATGTGCCCCAAACACCCAGCACCGACACGGTGCCCGAGGGAAGTTTCAATGAGGTGGATGGCACAGCTGAGAATCTAACCAAATTATCTGAGGTGGAACACGGACAGGAAACTACGACGCCTCTCATCCAGACAACGCTGGTGAGTTCGGGGAAGCACTCCAGCTAATGGGAAACCAATTAACTCACCGCACAATCACCTCTTTGCCTCCCCATTCTTCATTCCTCCAGCCAAAGGCACGGGGCTCCAGCTCGACTCCGGCCACCAACTCCAACTACTCGAGTCTGCCCTGCTGCGGGGCCAGGGCCTCGAATTTGGGCGGAGCTTCCGCTGGCAATTCCTCAAGTGGATTGGCAGCCATCCGGCACCCGGGCAGCTGCAACGGTGGGCGCAACGCACTGGGCATCGACATCAGCGCCGTGCATAATGCAGTGCTCCGTGGCAATCTCGCCAAGCTGCCGGAACCCTTCGTCAACGAGCATCCGGTGACCATCTACCCCGGCCCATCCTCCAAGGCGGCCGGTGGCGAGGGGGCACGTAGCAAGCGGCTGCTCAGCTCGGTGGAGAAGCACAAGGAGGTGTGCCACATGCTCAATCCGCATTCCAGCAGCTCCACCTCCTCGTCCGGCTCACAACACACGTCCAGCGGGGAGGCCTCTCCTGCCGCTTCGCACGTCAATGTGGCGACATCGAAGGCGGCTGGCAGAGATGACGACTATTCGGAGGACTCGCTGGAGGAGTCCACCATTTCCACGGACCTCACGCCCGTCAAGCAGAACGGAGTGGCCTGGGAGATTCACTTCAAGAGCAACAAGAAGAAGTCGAGCGGCACCAAAAAGGCGTCTGGCGCATCGAAAAAGGTTAGTGTTGATCATAAGTAGACCTCGGATTTTGCATATTTTTATAGGAAAAAGATAAATCAATTTCGAAAACACCAAAGTTCGGTTCAATAAAAATATAGTTTAAAATAGATGGCATATTTTATTTTTTTTGCATATTTGCATAAAATGCATATGCATAAAATATGCAAAATAATTTATAATTTATATCTTCAACGAGTAGACGAGAAGGGGGCAAAAATAGTAAAAGAGGCAGAATAGTTTTTGGCCCTATCGGTTAAACTGCTCGTTTAAATTGCTCGCCGTGTTTACTGAAGGTTCCTTAGTATACCAGAGGGCTGCATTAAAAATTTGAGACTCCAGTTGCTCGCATATATTTTGCATATATTTTGCATATTTTATGCATATATTTTTTGCATATATTTTGCGTACTTCCGATATGCATCCGAATTTATTACATTTGAAAAATATGACACCTTCCTAGAAGTTTTGGTAAAAATCGCACCAAAAATGGACAAATATGCAAAATCCGAGGTCTAATCATAAAGAAAGTCCGTATAACATAACTTATGTACCAATCCCAACAGAAGGCCAACAACTTGGACGACTTCAACAACAGCTTCGTCTACAATGAACAGAGCATGCTGGGCAAGGGCACCTTCATTATTCGCCGATCCACAGCCAAGAAACCGCCGCGTGCCGCAGATGTCTTTTGTATACCCAAGCCGCCGCGTCCCTCGTTGGCGGAGAGATCCGCATTCGGATCTGGGACGAAAGTTGGCGCTGGAGCGATCAGCAATGAGTTTTACACCAGTGACAGCGAGCAGAGCGATGCCACGCCACTGCCACTGCCGCCGCCTCCGGCCCCCTCGGAGATGAACTTCGTCTACAAGGAGTGCGAGGCCAATGCGGCGCAGACACGCCGCGGCCTGGAAATGGCCGCTGCCCATCGGGCGGCCCTGTCGCTGGACATTGCCGAGGCCCCAGACCAACTGGGCCACTGCAAGCCGGTGAAGAGCAAGACGGCGATGCTGACCGAAAAGCGCCTGAGCGCCGAGTCCATGCCGGACAACACCTCCAGCAGCGAGGAGTTCGACGAGGCGCGACTCAACGGAAACGGCAGCTACGAGCTGTACGCCTACAACGGGAGTGGTGATTTATTTTCCATGCTTTCTAAAAACTCATGTACTTACTGTTGTTCCCGTTCACTGCAGATCAACGCGTTTCCAACGCCACCACTCCGCACACGGATCTGGCCCCCACTCTGGAGGAGGACGAAGAGCTGTCCGACTTTAGCTACGGGTGTGCTCCCCTCACGCAAATCGAGCATAACATCAGCGCCTTGCTGCGTGGAGACATTCCGATTGCTGGTCCCCCGGCGGGCTGCAATGGGGCTGGAGCGGCCGCAGCCGCTGCCACAGCCGCCGAGCTGCACGCCAAGCGGATACTGGAGTTCCGGCCAGGCGTTCACAAGTCCGAGAGTGCCAAGGAGATGCTGCTGTCGCAGATGCCCAGCCTGGGCCCGCTGCCCCCGTCGCCGCCGAGCTCCAATCCGGATTTATTCGACTACGATGCCCCGCTGCCGCCGTCGCCGATAGAGCCGCGCAAGCAGCTGGAGCTTCCGGCCGCGGTGGCGGTGGCCAGTGCACCGCCAGCGAATCGCGGCACCACCGTGGTGGAGGTGCATGCCACAGCCTCCGGGGCGGCGGTTCACAGCAGCAACAGCCACACGCGGCGCAGTCGCGACAACGTGGCGGCCGTGCGTCACTTCACCGACGAGCTGCCGCCGCCACCGGCGCCCGCCCACCAGTCGACCAGCTTCTTGGAGGGCCTGCCCGGACCACCGATGGTGCCACCACACCGAGCCACTGGCGGTCACTCGGCCAACACCATGAAATCCTGGAGCATTGACTCGCAGTATCGCAAGAGATCGCCCAAGCTATTTGGCCACTATAGCAGCGGGGGCAGTGGCATAACCACACCCACCGGGCTGGGCCCGATGCCTCCGCTGCCACCGCCTCCGCTCGACGGGATGGCCAGTGGATCCGGATCCTATCAGCGACGGTACATCAATTACGGCACCAAGCGCAGCCTGAAGCAGTCGCCGCGCGAGGAGCACCGTCTGCAAACCTCATGTAGTCTTCCTGAAACGCCAATCTTTGCCAGAGGGTAAGTCTCTACAACCGCGAGAAAGAAGTCCGCTAAACAGTAACCATTCATCGGCAGCTGTGACATACCACGTACGCCATACCGACGCCAAAATGAGCCGTTGCCTGTGGTCAGCGGTTCCCGCACAGCTCCCCGATCCAGCACTTCGAACAGCATCAACATGGGCACATCCATTATTGGGATTGGAGGTGAGTGATTTATTATTATTAATAATAAACTGAATCAAAATTCCTATGGGTTCGCATAAAATAAGAAGAACGCTGTAGTCGAGAACTTCGACTGTCAGATACCCATTACTCAGCTGAAGAGAGTGCGAGGGAAGTGGAGATATGCAGTCATCAAAGCTACCAGCGCCATCTAGTGGCTGTTGACATTTTTAATGGCTCCATCTAGCGGCTGTTTCAATTTTTGCCCATAACTTTTTATTGAATGGTCCAAATTAAAAAATGTTTTCTACATTTTGATTACCTATCAGCGCTCGGCTGAAACGAACTTGCGCTGCGTAGGAGGCCCAAGAACATGTGTGGTTAATCCCAACTTTCTAGCATTTGTTGTTTCCGAGATCTCAGCGTTTATACAGACAGACAGACGGACAGACTGACATGGCTTGATTGGCTGGTGACCCTCTCAAGAATATATATACTTTATAGCAGGGACCGTAAAGAATCGTTTTTTGAGAATTTTTTTGATATTTTTACAAGTTTTAATCAACAATTTAACTGGTTGTTATGGACTTTATAGACATGAACAAATAACAGTTCATTTGCTTTCCAGATGTGTTGACATGCATATACTTTGTGGACAAGAGTAAAAAGAACGTAATTTTTGTCGTTTAAAACAAAATATCAAAATAAAAATCTTAAATAACGATTATTTACGGTCCCTGCTTTATACGAATACGATATACCCGTTACTCGTAGAGTAAAGTATTTAAGTATTTTGCCACAAGAAATAACTATATTTTTTTAAAAACTTTTCAACAGTCGGTAACTACGGTACTGCCCAAATTTGCCGTCAACGCTCGATCAATCATGCGTTGGCATCCAACGAGATGCTACGCATGACCGGAGCCCCGGCTCGTGGATGGTATCCCAAGCAACGGGGAATGCGCCCCGTCTCCACCGAGAACATAGATCGCCTGGCCTCCGTGCGGGTGTGGGACAATCCGGCGGGCATGTCGGGCACCGGGCAATCTCGCAAGCCCCTAACGCTGCCTCCAAATCTTACGCCTTCCTTCCTCAACAAGTCACCCCGTGAGGCGCTGCGTCGAGTGACTAGTTTGCTGATAACCAAAAAGAGTGAGTTTAATTAAAGTGTGCGGATCAACTAATAAAGTAAATTCCTCGCTCCATTTAGAGAACAGCAAGGATCGAAAACACAAGGCCTACTGCGATCAGCTCATGGATGACAACAACAGCAAGCATGCCTATGAATTCGAGACGGGTAAGAATATAACTTTAATGCGAAGTACTATTTAACACTAACTACTTTTGTGCAGGTTCCACCAAGCGAAAGGATACCAATCCCAAGGACAAGGGAGCCACGGGGGTGACCACCAATACCAAACCCAAGAAGAAGGGCCTCTTCAAGTCCCTTTGGAAGCGCTCGAAAACCGCCTCGTTGGATCAGTAAAGAAATCCTCGCCGGCAAGCCTAAGCACTGCCCCAAGTTTTATGTACACCATAAGCGTATGATAGCATCGAAAATGATAATAACCCTGCACTTACACTCACGTTTATCGGGTCGCAAGTTGAGAGTTTATCTTGGCACCCACCCACCCACTCACCTGCTCATCCGAACAGCAAAACTTTCTCACGCTCGTGTTCGTTCACCTTGAAAACAATTGAAGCAATTTTGTATACACATCGTATCGTATATCGGTCATATAGTAATGAGAAATCTGAAGAATTCAAATGCACAAAAGCCGTGAATCGTAAAGACTGAAAATGAAAAAGCGTAAAACAAAGAAAATTTAAGCGAAAACGAAAATATTATGGAAGACAATGAAATTAACTGAACATATGCAAACAATATTCCACTCTCACAAACTAAAGAAAATGAAATCTGAAAGCAGTTGTATGGATCGCACGGCTATATTCTTACGTACTCGTGTATGTATGTATGTGCGGTCTCCCCCGACCTTGAACTTGCCAAAAAAAATTAATGCAATTATTCTATGGCCGTACAACCAACACCTAACCGAATGCACGCAACATGGGCGCAGCAAGAAATTTACAACTTATACAAGCACTGAATTTATATAAACGTATATAGATATGAGCGCTATATATATAGTTTGGACTATAACTGAACCGTTTAGGGTTCTAGGCAACATGTCTTACTTTATGATCGTGTTTATTTAGGTACTTTTCGTGTAGCTAAGAAATAAGTTTGGATTTGATGATTTGATGACTATTTTCCATTTTCCAAGGGACTTGAATACGGGCATAGTGCAATTAGATGCGAGATATTGATTGATTTCAGAAATTATCTCAAGAATTCGAATCGTGAATTCGTTGCGTTGTTCAACAAGCCACCCCTAAATAACTCGGATAAAAACCCAGTCGCAATAATATGCAAGAATCTAAAATCTCATAAAACGTGTTACATTTCCAAAAACTGAAAAAGAATGAAGTTAAGCCCTCCACGTTTGAAAAAATTTTGATAATAACCAGTTTGAAAATGATTTAATCCATATAATCTTAAAACGAAATTTAATGCTCAAGACGATTTTACCAGAGAAAGCATTTCTCAAATTTTGAGCGCGAATGAAGCTAGGTAGTTGGAAAAGGAAAACTGCAATATGAAACAACAAAACTGTAAACGTTTACTAGTCATTTAATATTAAACAATAAACAACAGAAAAATGATATATGGAAGATAACATATTTTTTATTAACACTCACTGAGACGCCAAGAATACAATTTTGGCATTTTATGAGCAGGAGCTGGCCCCTAAGAGCAAGTTGAAAGTATTATTAACGATTTATATTATATGCTATAGCAAGTTGGTATTTATTATAATTAATGACATATGTACAATTATTTGAATTAACATTATTGAATATATTTTTTAGAAAAGTAGCATGAAACGAAATAAAATTATTAAAACAGAAATAATCCATGGCCCGTGTACTTTATATATAGATATATATATTAAAATTGGATCCTTTGGTAAAGGCGAAACTTAAATGGTTATTGAACACAGAATAAACATAACATTAAAATCGACTTTTAGAATTACTGGGCATCATAAAAAAAAAACAATATAAAAATAATAATTTTAAACATTCGAGAACTGGATGGAAATTTTATTTTTCAAATTAAAGGCCAATGAAATAATAATTATTCAACTATAATGTATTGTTTCGATAATCTATTAAAAAATCGCATTGTGGAAGTGTTTTTCTCAAAAAATCTTTTGCGTACTTGCAAGTTCTGGGATTCCATTTATACATTTTTCAATTCAAATGACAAATTACAATAAAAATACGAACAGATCTATAAAAGTTACACCATAGCATACAGACACCGACAGAAACAGAAATATTATATTTAATTTTTTAGCCAGAAAAATTACATTTTAATATTAAAATTGAAGAATTGTATATGAAGGTAAAAAAATGAAATAAAAAATAATTTTGAAGTAATTTGGAAAACTTTGACTGTAAACCGTGTTTTAATGGAAACATAAAGTTTTCAAAACTAGTTTAAAATAGTTACCCCCTACTCCAAAGTTGTGTGATTTTTAGATAAAATTCATCGGGGAATTCAAAAAATTGGGAGTCTGCCTGATAAAAAGTTTTAGATCTTTCCTGTAATCTTCCTGGCCAATTAAATTGCATCACTTTGGTGAACTTATTTGATCTATTTAAAAAAGATACCATTAACTCAAAAGCGGGGAAAATAATATTTAGCATTGAATTTGAAAATTTGTTTTCGGTTTTTATTTTACATTTTCCAGCAATTCGTTCTGCTTTGTGCGTGTGTGCATAAAACCAGATAAATATACAATACATAAAAGGAATATATCTACAATTATACAGGACACACGCATTAAATCAAAATGGGGCAACTAACTAAACTAAATTAAAAGTATCAGTAACATCTTTCGATCGCCACACATCTTTCATTCCAATAAGCTAAGATCATAAAAAAACAAAATCCAAATTGCTTGACCACTCTTTTGTTTCGTTTTGCTTTTTAAAGAATATTGTAAACATACGGATGTTAGTAGTTTGCTAAAATCCTGTCTATTTATGAGGTGTTTTAAGACAAATTAAGCCGCTTGGTTAACAATTTCTTATTGTGTGTTTGGGGGATTGTAGTCTGGGGAGTTTGCAGTTACTTTAGATTAAATAATCTCTTCCAGTCTAGGCCATGTAGCTGTATTCATCGCCAGAGTTCGCAGTTCGCTCGATATATTGTTTGTCAATTAACGATTCCACGCATTTCTTGATCATTGCAATATTGGGCGTAAAGCTAACCTTCGATAAAGAGAGCACCTGGAAAATAAATGTTATTTAAAGTTAATTGTTCAACATTTTTGCTTATACGTACCTCTTGTATCAGCGCGTTGTGCTTCAGGACTTTGCGCGCCTTCATAATTCGGACGATGGCGGCTTGCAGGAACAGTTTTCGGTCCTCATCCACAGAGTTGATCGTGTGTTCCACCTACGTAAGAAAGTAAATTCAGAATATGCGTCTTCAACTAAAATATATGTTGTTACTGACCTCCTGTGGCGTTTCCTTCTGCAAAGCCGAACTAATCTTAAACTTTGTACGCTTATTTGTGTAATCCAAATTCAATTCTATTCGAGTCTCCCCGGCGAGATTCTCTGAGCTGGCATTCAACAGCTTTGACTCGATCATAGGCTGCATGTGCTTCTGAAACGTTTCGTCATTCAGCTGCAGTGTGTTCTGAATCTCCCGACAACTGAGGCTATCGCACGTCTCGAACAGCAGGATTATCGCCATCTGGTATGTTTGCATTGTCACAATGTAGGATTTTTTCAAATGGCTCAGCTTTAGTTCTCCATGGCACATGTGATGCAGCCAAGTCAGCTTGCGACCACTGAACAGTTTATGATAATAGTCCTCAAACTAAAAATAGATACACATCTTTGATATAGAAATAGGTATTCTTCACGAAACGAAATCATCACATACCATTTTAATTGATTTCTCAAATTCCTGCGGTACTGCAAATGGAATAACTTGTGTGGATCCCAAAGGCCAAGCGCCCGCCTGCAGTACCTTAATCGAGAGATTGATGCCTGCAAAGGAGTTTAGATTTTTAGAAAATGTGTGAATAATTTATGATTATAGAGCTCTCACCTAAATCCACATTGTTATCCTTTAGGTGAGTATTAAACTTGTTGTTTAGATCTGTAGATACAGAAATATCCGTGAACATGCGATGAAGTTTATTGGTGAATTCATATCCGCAGGCTTGCTGTAAAGGTAAATTAGAAATTTAATGGTATATTGCACTGGCACAAAAAAGGTAAAAATATTATCAAACTAAAATATAAATTGTACTGGGTTATCATGTTGGGCGAGCTCAATTAACTTAATTACGAAAGGTCAGTTCTTACAGTTATCAGTTCATTGATTATTTTAAAATTTAACTATCATGCTTATTAACTATAGATTGGCTATATTCCAGTACGTTTTGCACCGTGGAATTAGACAAATGTGAAGCAGGTTCGGGATTTCAAATGACATGTGATAATGATAAGTGATAATAAAACGCTTCTTAAAGAAAATATTCAACAAGCGAGACTAAGGAAACACCTACCTTCAACCGATTGATCATTCCCTCCTCCGCATCCATACTCTGACTCTGCTCGTGAATGAGCCGCTTGGCCAACAGCCGGCTGTAGAACTTCTGGTAAACATCCTTGTCCTCTATGTACTTAAAGATGGTTATATTGTTGGTGAGCTTCTGGTCGATCTCCGCCTCGCAGGTCTTGGACTTCTTCAGTAGCGTATCACAGTATTTGGCCACATACTCGGCGCTGCGGCACGGCTGCCGCTCGGTTGGCCGGCGATTGATGACGCTGGCGCACGCTTTGTCCAACGCGCTGAGGAAGAGAGAATCGTTCTCGAAGACGTCGGCGATGAGCTCCTGGTACTTTTGGTGCACCTTCAGCATGTTCTCCACGAACGCAATGTGAATGTTCTCGCCCTTGAGCGCGGACACGGTCTGCAGACCCTCGCTTTTGATGTGCTCGAGGAAGGTGGTGATGAGCTCGGACTTCAGGTTGTCGGGTATGGGCTTCAGGACGATGTACATGTTGCGCAGATCCTGGCGCCGCTCCTCGGACACCATTTCTCGGCACTCCGAGTAGATGAAGCCCAGGCGATCGTTGATGAACTTCTCCTCGCACTCCTTGCGCAGCTTCGGCAGGGAACTGACATGCAGAAACTTCTGGGCTCTTCGGCTCTCGTACTCCAGTATCCGGATAACCTCCTGCATGTACTCCGACACCGAGCAGCGCTGCAGCAGCTTGTTGGCCTCGTCTGTGTAGTAGGCGCCACTGGCGTCCAGCATGGGGCCTTCGAAGAGCTCCTGGTAGAGCTTGAGCGAACCCGTCTTCTTGTAGTCCTGAACCTCCACGAAGCTGTGTATCACCCCGTTGATAATCTGCACGCGGTGATGATCCAAGGTGCCATTGCTGGCCCTGTCGGCGGCGATCCCCTCGAGAATGTGGCGCACCAGTTCGCTGGACAGATACTCGATCATATACAAGCGCCAGATGTCCAGTCCCAGTTCGCCGATCTCCATTTGCTCTGCAGCGTCGCTGGACAGGTTGCCGTAGAACGATTCCGTGTCGGTGATCTTCTGCTTCTTGATGTGCTGCTGGTTTAGGTAGCTGGAGGAAATGAAAGCCATTGATTGGGATTTGGGATGGGTGTCTTTTACGGATGCTCACATGTATAACTGGTGCAGATACTTGATGCCCTGGCTGTACTCCATCCAGGTGGTGTAGTAGCGATGGAGGAGATCCGGGCCGCCGTGGGCGTTGGAGCCCTCGCCCTCGATCAGCACCTTCTTGGCCAGCATCTCCTGGACGTGCTGCTCCAGGAAGTGCTTTGTCTCGCCGTAGAGGCGATCGGCCATCGGTTCCGGCTGCGCCACGCACAGCGTGTAAACGTCGCTATATGTTTTATATGTTTTGGGAGGGTGATTGGACGGAGCGATGTGTTAGTGCGTGTTTTATTTTAGCAATTTCATTTTGGCAACTCACGCTGCACACACATATACGAACAGTGGCGGTCGGATTAATAGTTACCCTTATTCGTAGCAATCCTTAAACGAGGTCCCCAACCTGTACTAATCATAAACTCAGTTCGAGCCCCAGAAATGATGTTCCAACAATGTTACTCAGTGATTGTGGTGGGAAAATTGCGTGCATATGTAACTATCTTGAAGCTGGGAAACAATTCCTACTTGTTATCTACACGTTTACAAAAATATCACTGCATTAATCAGGCCTGTAGATTACGAAATTTTGCAAATCATTGGCTGCTTGCCTGCAGCTATATTTGTGACTGCTGCTGTGGGAATGATAAACATATGGCTCGATCGCTAAATAGATATTTAGAAATTTCTTTGGGGGAATACTAGCTTCTCCTGGAGTATTTGGGGTATTTCCCAAGGACCTATTATTCCGACCGCTGCTGTGGGAGACCGAGACCTACATACCTGAAGCTTGTGTTCCACACCGAGCGCTCCACTTTGGTGAGCGTTATCACCGACTCGGCGATGCAGCGCAGGCGCGGCCAAACATCGACAAACTCCACTATCTTGGGCTTGAGCGACATCTCGACTGGGTCTGGATCCTGGGTCCGTCTGGGGATGGATGGATGAGGAGGTGTTGGTGTTGGTGCTGGCTAGTGGACGGGGCAGGGCAGAGCGGGGGCGGGGCGGATTAGAAGGCGGACTGATCCGATCCTGCGGCCTGCGCGATTACAGCATGAGTTGGCAGAGGAGGCCACTGCTGCCTCTGCCTCTGCTTTGCTTTTGCTTTTTGGCATAATCGCGCAGCTCGCTCACTTTTTGTGTGGGGGCCACCAGCTCGTTGGCCTTGCCCTCGGCCAATTTCACAGCTGGGTAGCCCCAGTCACCGAGCCTCGGCTCGCGGGGGGTGCGCGGGCTGGACGCCTACTCACCTGCTACTTAACTACGCTATTTACTAATTAATTACGCCGAGAATTTAGTTTTTTGCACTTTTTTTTGCTATCCTATCGTAAAACGGGTCGTCAGACGGAGACGATATCGATATATCGATATGTTGTTATTGGCACGCGATATTAGGGATGCACACACATTTTCTCCGCGAACAGAAAATCGGTTGGCAGCCCGCCGTCGCCAGCTGATTGGCAAATAAGGCTTTTATTTAAAAAAAATTACACTTTCTTTTTAAGAATTTGCTTAAATTGTTTCTCTAATCAGTAGTTAATGCCTCTTAAAATTAAAGTTTCATGTTACCTTATAAGCGCGTCAAACAAACTAGAATTGGCGGTTTTTTTTTTAAATCGAAACCCAAAGTTTTAATAATAAATAAGAATAATATTTATCATTAAATAGAAAAATACATTTTTTAAAATAAATTTTCTTTTACCAATAACTCCTTTTAAAATTTTAACGGGGTTGGGTTTTTTAAAAGCACTTGTATTAAAACCAAATACATTTTAATTAACCTAGTTCTAATTCGTAATTTAAAAACTGTTTTGATATTGCTTCCTTATTGCTTGGACACGCTGCAATTAATAAATAAATATTCGAAAATAAATAAAATAAATAGTGTACTTCCCACAAAAAATATATAAACATTAAGTTTTATTTATTTAATTTATTTCGCTATAATTTGCTAATTTTTCGGTATTCTGTTTTCCATTTATAGTTACATTTTAGGTTTATTTTATTATTTTTAAATGATAGAAAAGCCCGAATGGTTTAATGTTATTTTATGGTCATAGCAGAAAACACAATTTTAAAAGTTCACCAGACTCTTCACCTAAATTTAAATTTCTAAAAATCGTTTTTTGGTGATTTATTTAACTAGTGGAAAAGAATAGAATATTCTTCAAGCTAAACCAATCATTTATGTCGTTTTTCTCGTCTTGATTGTCATGCTTTTAGCCATCAAAAAGAAAAAATTAAAGAAAGTAAAGGCTGATGGACATACGCATAAAACAGATTTTATACCAATTTTTGTAGTTATTTTTTTTTCCTATGCTTGGTAAGTAAGTTCGATTCATGTTTCTTTGCTAATTCGTTGAAATGTTCTAACAAGCATGCGATGCCATTTATAAGTTTGTTTACATCTATATATTTCTATATATAAGAAGTTGTATATATATATTGGTTGATGACGTCCAAGAACGCACTCCAAGGATATTATATTATGCTGCTTGACTTCTATTGCTTTTTCTATATTTAAGTAATTTCGTTAACTAATTCTTTATCGTTAGATTTGTTCGCTATTTGGACTGACTTGTGGGTTGCATTTGTTTGTGGTGGGATTCGGATTCTCAACTAATATTCTCTCTCTATAACCATGTTTTTAGGACTTAGCGTAGTTTATAAGTATTCCATAGTTTATGCGTATATTTATATTTTACACATTGAGATGCAAAATGGTTGTTTTTGTCGACCTACTAAACTACACATCAATTAGTTTGTAAAGCAAAGTGGTTCGCTTATATATTACAGTTCTTGGAAATGAGATAACAATTTTGTTTAAAACAAAAACTGATTCACAGTAACCAAACGTACTTAGTCGTAGTCAAATATATTTAAAAGCTAAATATATTTCTTGTTTTTAGGTACACAGTTTACAAACTTTTGGAAAGAAGACCTATAAATTGAACTAAATTGGAATTTTGCTTTTTTGTTTCAAAAATTGCTGCATCTGCATAGAATATCACACGAATACTGAGGCAAAACCAAATTTATAGCAAGTATAACAGCTTTATAACAGTTAACTTTTGTTTTCTAGCACAGCCACACACGCATCCACTCGTAGATTCACACTCATACAGACTAAAGTGCAAAATAAGAAGCCAATTAGCAAATTATTCTAGCAAAGATTGAGATTCCCCCACCCCCGCTTGGCCAGCACTGCCATTTCCCATGCCCTGCTCCTGGGCGATTCCCTCGCAGCCCGCCGATGGCTCCGGGACCTTAATCTTCAGCAGGGGCGTCTTGATGTCAGAGGCCTCCAGCTCGGTGGTGGATTCCAGAGCAGATGATTCCTGTCCATGGAGCTCGACGGCTGCAGGCGGTACCGGCTCAGCACTTGACTGGGATTTTCCCTGGAAAAAAAAGAAAGCATACAAATTTTATTAGGATTCTATGGGTTCTATAAATCTAATTAAAAGTTTTGGCAAGAAATTATAATAAATAAGTCATTCGGCAAGCCGAAGCTTATATACCCTTGAAGATCATTCCTATTAATTTACAAATTGCAAAAATGTTAAATTTCCTATTATTTCACATTAATTTTTCGATCGTTTCTATGACAGCTTTATGATACAGTAGTTCGATCTTTTTAAAATTAAAATCGAAGTTCGGAAATATTTAAAAATAGTCATATCCCAGAGTAGAAGAGAATGTATAAAAATCAACAAAGATATAATTTTTTTTCTATAAATTTCCATTTAATTTTTCGACCGTTCCCATGGCAGCCATATGATATAGTGATCCGATTTTTTTTAATATTTTATTCGAAATTCAGAAATATATAAAAAATAATATTCCCAACAGTAATATTTGAAAAAACACAGAAGATAGATTTTTTAACGTTTTTTTCCGTTCCTTCCTATGGGAGCTATAAGATATAGTTGTCTGATCCGGTCGGTTCCGACTTATATACTACCTGCAATAGAAAGACGACTTTTGGGAAAGTTTCATCCCGATAGCTTAACTAGACTAGTTTGCGTAGAAACAGACAGACGGACAGACAGGCAGACGGACAGATAAAATAAAAATGTTTTAATTCACTATTTTTATCGTATCCAAAGGGGTGTTCATGCTAACCTGCAAGTAGTAGGTCATCAACTGTCCCTTTCCTTTGACAGCCACCAGACCGCGCTGTAGGAATGTGTAACCAAAGGGCTGTAGAATATTGCATGTTTCCTCGGTGACCTGGATGGCGCCCGCCTTCCCTGTGCTCTCCATGCGCGATGCCACGTTCACCGTATTCCCCCAGATGTCGTAGTGCGGCTTACGGGCCCCAATAACGCCCGCCGTGATCGGTCCATGATTGATGCCCATCTTGAGGACGAAGTGATTGAACGACTGCTCGTTGATGCCCTGCAGGGCGTGCTTCAGTTCCAAGGCAAACTCGACCAATACGGCGAGGTGCGACCAGCGTTCTGTTATGGGGGCGTCATTCCGGAGGTTCCGCTGCAGGTTTATGCCACTGGCGGCCATGTAGGTGGAGCCAATGGTTTTGATTTTGATGATGTCCTGGAACTGCGGAAGTTCCAACAACTGAAAAACAATTAAAGAATAATGTAATGTAATATATGTAGTATTTCTTAGTTTACTTTTAAGAATACAAATGTTTAAAAAGTTTGTTGTAAAAATAACTCACCGCATCAAAATCTGAAATAACCTCGTTGAGGAAACGTAGACACTCCAAGCCTTGATTGTTTACCGTCTCTTCGGAATAGAAATCTGAAACAAATATCAACCATTATCACATCATATATTGCATATCCATATGGTTTTTCATTTTATTGTTTATAAACTATGTATTACACTTTACAATTTAAACTTAGTACAAGCTTACCCGAAAAGTTTGGCATACTGGCAAACAAAACGCCAACCTCAGCGTAACTCTGGGAGTAAAGATCATCGTGGGATCGCTTGGTGTTCTTCATAAAGTGCTCTGCCACATGAACAGGCAAGACGTTGTAGACTAAAGCCTCGTTACGCTGTCGCATATCGTTAGCGGTCTCCTTCTGCTCGGCCACCTCTGTTTTCCACTTGAAAATTACCCTATCCTCATGGTCCATCTATAATTTTAAATAATTATAGTCCATCTATCGCATAATCTGAACCTGTACTCACATGTCTGGCCAAAGTGCTTAACGCCAAAGCAGCGACTAGCAAAAGTCCTGAAGCGCAATATCGCGTAGATATAATACTAAGAAAAGATAATGAATAAATGAAAATCTTTTCTAATTTAGATAACAAGCCATAAAGAAATCTTCACTTACGGTTGATCTGCAAAATCATCCTCCAGAGCATATAGGTCCTGCATAATGAATATGTTGAAGTAGCAATGCAGAGCTGTTAGACAATACAGTAAAATTATTTATTTTGTTTATTTATTATTCATTTTATTTTGCCACTTACCTGCAATGGACAATAGCAGCAATATCTTTGTGAGATGCGTGAGTTGGGCAATTACGGCGATCGCAATCAATATGAGAACTCCAAAATTACTCAAGTAGGACGGATATAGAACTCTTTCCGTGGGCACTGCCTCGCGCATTTGTTCCACAAAGGATGCGGGCAGAAGGTGCTCGGCGGTGACCACCCCCTCCATCTCCACGTCCACCTCGCTATCCAGGCCGGCCGTGGCATTGAATTCGCTTTCACTCACAATATGCTCGGTGCGCACGAAGGTGACAAAGAAGAACTGTCAAGGAAATAGAGGCAAATCAGTCCCAGGACTTGAGCACGCCCGCACCACACTCGCACAAAAATATCGGTGGAATCAAACTTTAGAATGATTTGTTCAATAAAAAAAATATATAAACATCCAAAATTAAAAAGTAAGTTGAAGTGCCGTAACAGCGGGATTAAATTCATATTAATATTCATATTATCTAAACGATGTCATAAATATTTTAAAAGGAAAATTAAAAAAAAATTAAAAAAGCTAAGCTTATGAAAATGAAAATAATAATTAACAAACATGTAACAATTAAAAACAAAATCTCAATGGAACTTCATTTTCAAGATATCAAAGTAATTTGTTATAACGATTATTTTGCTGAGTGAAACAAATAGGGCGTTAAAAACACGAACTAACCATGTCGATGACATTGCTCAGGCCAATGGTGAGTGCAATAATTATGGCGGCCAGCTCACGAACGAAGGTAATGTCATTGAAGCGCTTGCTCACATCCACAAAAAACTTGGGCAGCATGCCGCTGAAGCTCTCGGCGATGCTGATCACAACCAGCATGGCGATGGGTACCAAGGGCGCAGCTATGTTGATGAAGTGGAGTGTAGATCGTGGCAGAACTAAATAAGAGTATAGCACATCGA